ATTTGTCTCTGGGGTTTTTACCTTTCTGTATTTTAAGTACCTTTTGTTCCTTCTTACTCTGTGGCTGGTCGTGTGGCTGGGTGGCTGGCCATGTGGCTGGGTGGCTGGCCAGCTGGCCGTGTGGCTGGGTGGCTGGCCGGCTGGCCGGGTGGCTGGCCGTGTGGCTGGCCGTGTGGCTGGGTGGCTGGCCGTGTGGCTGGGTGGCTGGCCGTGTGGCTGGGTGGCTGGCCGTGTGGCTGGGTGGCTGGTCGTGTGGCTGGGTGGCTGGCCGTGTGGCCGGGTGGCTGGCCATGTGGCCGGGTGGCTGGCCGTGTGGCCGGCCGTGTGGCCGTGTGGCTGGGTGGCTGGCCTTTGGCTTCTTTTCTCAATCCTCGCTCTTTGCTATAACCTAGAGTTCTCCTATCTGCCTGGCAGCCCCACCTACCTTTCTCCTACGTAGCTATTGGCTGTTCAGCTCTTAATTAGACCAATCAGGTTTTTAGGCAGGCAAAGTAACAGCTTTACTGAGTTTTAAAAAAATGCAACATAAAAGAATGCAACACATCTTTGCGCCATTCAACAAATGCTTCATGGCATAAACAAATATAACACATTGTAAATAAATATTCCACAACAGTGCCACCCGGTAGGCTGGGCCCTCCTACATAAATTAACAATCACAAGTCCCTAATATGATCTAGCCAATTCCTCTTTCAGATGACTTTAGGCTGTGTCAAATTGACAGTAAAGCTAGTTACCACAATAACCAAGGATGGCCTTGAACTTCTTATTCCCTCATCTTCCCCCTCCCATGTGCTGGAATTGCAGGCATATATTCCATGGTTTATGTGGTATTGGCAACTGAACCTAAAGTTTTATGCAGATTAAAAACTCTACCAACCTGGCTATACAGTGCTTATCTCAGAGGGATTTGGCTGAGAATAGAATAATGACTATTGGGGGGGGGGAGATACTAGGAAGTTATTGTTTAAAACTACAGTTTCTTTTTGTGGGGCCCAGGTACAGTGTGGTGGTAGAGCACTTACCTAGAATGTGTCAGGTCTTGGGTCAGATCCCCCAAAAGAACAAAGATTTACAAAAAATAAAATACAATAAAATAAACCAGTATGTGTTTGGGTGCAAATTGTCACAGTCAGTAATATGCCTGTAACACAGACACCAGCGTTTAAGTTTCAATGCCAGCATCCACACAAAAGCTGGCCACCATGGAGAACAATTGTAACCACAGCTAGATCTGAGGGAAGACAGGTGAACAGGTAGAATTCTGGAGCTTGCTGGCCAGCAGGCCTAGCCAAATCAAGGAAACCTACATTCAGTGAGAGAGACCCTGTCTCAAAACAACAACAACAACAATAATAAAAATAATGGAGCTCTTCACCTTCTTTCCTCCAACCAGCCAGCAGCCCCACCCATGAAGGTGGAGCTGTTTCATCAGGTAGAAGATATACCCCTGACCTAGGTAGTGCTACACCAGACCATCTGGAAGGTTTTTCCTTAATGCAAAATTGGAGTCTGAATTCCTTTCCGAAAGGAATCCTCAGCAGATAAACTAAACACTGTCCTCTACAAAAGAAAATGCAAAAAGGACAGCTGGAAGAAATTCAAAAGAAAAGAACTCATCCTGCAATCAAATTCCAGCTGGACATCGCTGGTCTCTCTCTTGCTGATGAAATGGCCAAGACATATAAGAAACCAGAAGTTTGGAAAGCTCAGCAGCAGCAGCAGCAGCAGCAGCAGGTGGTCATGGCTGCTAAGAAAGGCGAAAACAAACAAACAACAAAAAACAAAACAACAACAAAAAACTGGCTAAGCAGGCATGGAAGAAGACAGCAATGACCGCTGCTAAGGCCTCCATGAGGGCAGCAAAAGATTGGGAAGCCTGGGGTTGGGTAGAAAATGTTAATTTGGTAGATGAGAAATTTAAATAAAGAACTACCTGTAACTCTATACATGAGAACAATTGATGAAGACACTCCATGTTAACCTCTGCCCTTCATATGTACACACACATGCATGCACACCCATGCAGACCCCAAAGAAACATATACAAATACCACATATACATAATACTATTTTTTAATTTAAAGATAAAAGAAAAAGATTTTTAAAAGTTTCTGTTAGGGATGATGACAGCATTGTACAGGTGGAGAGTGGTCATGGTTGCCTCACTAGTATTAAAGTCCTTAGTATCCCTGAATTACACAATTAGATTGTTAAGATGGTAAGCTTTTATGTTATACTTGTTTATCATATGCTGAAAGACTACCTTGGTTCACATTCAGAACATCCTCAACCCAGGTGTCTAGACCATCAGTCCTCATGTAGCTCTTTTCAAATCCCCACAAAATCAATAACAAAATAATTAACTTATTAAATACTTACCAATGTACATTGTTTTATGTCATTTGATCCAGGCTAGCCCTGAAGTCACAATCCTCTTGCCTTAGCATCCCAGGTGCTGGGATCACAGGTCTGTGCTACTATACTCAGCTTAAACACTAGGGTTTGAAACTGGAATGCCTTTAATCTCAGCACTCAGGAGACTGAGGCAGGTCAATCTCTGTGAGTTTGAGGCCAGCCTGGTCTAGAGAGTGAGTTCTAGGACACCCAGGGCTACACAGAGACAATCCTGTCTCAGAAAAAAAAAAAAAAACACAACAAAAACCACCCAAGTCCTGAGTATTCTCAAAGACCAAACTTTTTCTTGGTTCCAGGATTTTCTCATAAAGTCTCTCTCACACTCTAAAAATTGCATAGTCTATTTTTTAAAAAGATGTATTTATTTGTATAATAACTATTTATGTCTGAGTGTATATATGCACAGCACTTGAGTTGCAGGGCTCTTGGAAGCCAAAAGGGGATGTTGGATCTCCTGAAACTAAAATTACAGGCTGTTAAGCTGCCTGATGTAGTAGGTTCAGTTAATTGCCCAAGTTCTCTGCAAGAGCAGTTAGAGCTCTTAAGTGCTGATTCATCTCTGTGGCTCCAAGAAATAATTTTCTAGGTGTTTGGAATGTGGTTCAGTTGCTAGAGTGCTTACCTAGCATGCACAAAGCCCTGGGTTCAACCCCCGGCACCACATGAAATTCCAGGCACCAGGCATGATGGCACACATCTGCAATTCCAGCTCTCAGGAGGTGAAGACAGCAGTATCAGAAGTTCAAGGTCATCCCTTGGCTACATAGAGAGGTTGAAGCCACCCTAACCTATAAGATACTCTTCATGATACCACTGCCATCAAACAAACAAAGCCAGCATAAAAGATTACCCTAAAGCCTCAGCTAAGAACCAGATCTCAGGGCTCCTTCCCACCTGCCTAGCCATGCTTTGCATGAATTCACTCTCTTCATTTCACAACAGCCCTCAGGAACGGGAGCTCTGATTGTCCTCATTGTACATAAGGACATGAGCTGCAGTGAGAATAATTTCCCCAAGGTCACAAAATGACTTTTGATACCAGAAAAATAGAATTTAAAAGCTACATATTATTATTGTATGGTACCAATGCAATTACACAGTGTGTGCTTGTGGAAGTCGGAGGACAACTTTGTAGACTCAGTTCTCTCCTACATTTCTGTGGGGTCCCAGAATTGAATCCAGATCATAGCTCTTAGGTTTATACAGCAATCATCTTTCACCTGGTGAGCCATTTCACTGGCTCTCAACTTAGGATTTTTTAACCGCCCCCCCTTCTTTTCTTTCTTTTTCTTTTCTTTCTTTCTTTCTTTCTTTCTTTCTTTCTTTCTTTTTTTTTTTTTTTTTTAAGAATTTATTTACAGATCTCTGTGAGTTTGAGTCCAGCCTGGTCTATAAGAGCTAGTTCCAGGATAGCCTCCAAAGCCACAGAGAAACCCTGTCTTGAAAAAAACAAACAAACAACAACAAAAAATTATTTAACTTTATTTTATGTGCACTGGTGTCAGATCCCCAGGGAGTAGAGTTATGGACAGTTGTGAGCTGCCATGTGGGTGCTGGGAATTGAACCCGAGTCCTGTGGAAAAGCAGCCAAGTGCTCTTAATCACTGAGCGATCTCTCCAGCCCCACTCCCCATTTTCTAATAAGAAAAATATTCTCATGTTTCTAATACCAGAAGGACAGAATGGCTAAAACCTCTTATCTTATTAGAGATAATGTCCCCCCCTTACCTCTTACTCATGATTGATCTGTTGTGCTTAATAAGTGTGATATGTGTGCAAAAATAAACAGAGGAAAGACCCCCTTCACCTTTTGGCTGTCATCCTTGTTTGGCCTAGAGGTACTTACCATCAGACAAAAGTGGGAGGGGTCTCCAAGGACACATGCCTCTCTTGTGCTCTCCTTTTTTTTTTTTTTTTTTTTTTTTTTTTGGTACGCCATCTTTCTTATTAGATTTCATATGGATAGCCTCTATAAGCACAGATTTATACACTGCACGTCAATGAATGTGGAATATATTTTCACGAGACCCTAGGGGATTGTCTTTATTTTTATGTCTTGAATTTTCCTCTATTATCTGAAGTCTTTCTATTCCTGGAACCCTCTCACTCAAATCTCTCACCAGCATCCCACCGTTTTGGGTGATAAACTCATTCCTGCCACCCAGCCCCTCACCTTGACCTTGAGCTATGATCCTTGCTGGGGTAGGGTGCATCCTTTGGCTAGTCCAAATCAACTCCTAGTAGAAAAAAAAGGAAGTCCGGAAAGTACCAGAGGTTTTTGAGTGTATCTGTCAGCATCCGCCTGCCCGTCTACTCCATTTGCCTTGCATTTTTATACAAAACCTAGTCTTAGGCCTTCTGAAGAATCCATATTGGTAGCGATTGCACGGCCCGCCCCCATCTCGAAGCTTCTGAATATTCATGTGGGAAGCAGCAGGGCCGTTATCAAAGAAGGGAGAAACAGCAATTCATAAATATTAATAAAGGCAGGTCCACGTGCTCCAAGGAAAGCTATGAATGTTCACGAGAAGGATGACGCTCAGGCCCTGGGCGCGCCCGTTGGGCGGGTGCCCGAGTGCGGGCGCGCCTCCGGGAGCCCGGGCACGAGCGCGGGGACCGGGCGCAGCCGGAGCAGCCGGGGATCGCTCGCTGGCTGGCTTGCCGCTGCCGCTGCGCTGTGCCTGGCTACCGCTAGCCGGTGGATGGGGGTGTCCGGTTGAGCCCCGGGATCTGCGTCCCTCCGCCAGGACCCAAACAGGTGAGGTCTCGGGGTGAGGTAGGGGGCAAAGACAACCTTAGTCTGGACTAGACCCAATATTGGGGACGGAGAATAGAATCCGGGTGATGAAGGAGGCCAAAGGAGTCCAGATTCTCTCATAGGACTTTTGGGGTTTGAACGACTCTCATGCACCTGGGTCCCATCTACATCCAAAGAAGGGCCCGTGGGCCATCTCCCTGGTTGTACCCAGTCTTGTGGGAGCTCAGCACCAGGGACCCTGAATTTGATGCTGGGTGCTGGTAGCATCATCTCAGAGCATCGTGTGTGTGTGTGTGTGTGTGTGTGTGTGTGATGTGCAACACACTGCCAGGAATCCTGCCTGATCGTGCTGGAGCAATGTGGATCCATAAATCATTCCAGGACCGTTATCCGGTCCGGTTATCTTAGGCGTCTCAAAATCATCTTTGTCCCCAAGAACCTGACCCTGAAATCTACTTGTGCCCCTCTGCGGGGTGTGGAGGCTTCCCCAGATGGTACATTCTCGCAGTGTCAGAACCTCTGGCTGCAGTCCTGGGGGACCGATTGTTTTACTACACAGAGCAAGTCGGAGAAAGGACGAGTGTGGCAGAGAGGAGTGGTGTGTGCAGAGCCGGCTGTCGTCCTCAGGACCCAGGGCCCTGCAGATTGGGGGCTCTGCTTAGGGGGTGTTATACAATCAGCTCTTCTGCCCCCCTTGCCTTTCCCTTCTCATCCTGTCTCCTGGCACGACTCACAATTCCAGGCGTCCAGGTCTTATTTGGCAAAGGGACAGTGGAGTATGTACAGCGGCTGTGTGGGATGAGCTGGGCTTCCTCCGAATGCCAGCCATTGTGCTGCTTAGAAGAGCCTTTCTTTACTCTGACAGAAGAGGGAGAGGAGGTCTGAAATGGAGGTGAATGGAACAGAAGAAAAGGGGGAAGGGTGCGGAGTCCGGTGAAGGGGTTGCTGAGCCATGTGCAAATGAGTATTTATTCTTTCTGGCAAAATGGGCAGCTAAAACTCGCCAGAAGAGCAGTGAGAGTCTGGAAGTGGATGACCGAGGGCATTTTAAGGATCTATGTGGGGAGGGGAGGGGAAGGAAGAGAAGAGGATGCACAGTCAACTGGTCTATAGAGGAAGTGATGGAAAGAACAGGGAGATGTAATATGTGGAGGTGCAAAGAGGCCCAGCAAGGGAGGCACGGTGAAATCTCGCTCCCATCCACCATTCACTCACTGAAGCAGGGACTGGTGATTTGTACTGCAGACCCAAGCTGCAGCTTCTGTATCGTTAGGCTGCAGGGAAAGGCTTGTGTGCTTCCTACAGGGCATCGGTAGAGCTCTGTGTGTGTGTGCATTTCTCTTCCAAATTACATCACGTATTTGGAGTCAGAATAAATGGAATAGATTCTATGAAGCACTTACAATCCTGTACTATGTTCTATAATAAAAAGAAAAAGATGACTTTCCTGTGATTCCCTCTCTGCCATTTTCATATAGCTATTTATTTTGGAAGCACAAAGAAGATGACTATTATGTGTCTTAACATTAACTTTTGTGTGTGTGGGAGAGGTGAAAACAGAACTCCAAGTGTCTCACACACACACACACACACACACACACACACACACACACACACGCTAAGCAAGTACTCTGGGGCTGATTTGCTCCTCTAGCCTTAACACTAGCTTTTCAGGGAGGAAGGCTCAGAGAAGCTGAGGCTGAGGACCCAGCAGGCTTGCCAGGATAGAAGGATGGAGGGTTACTTCAGACATTTCAGTTGGGAAATAGAGGAGTCCAAAAGAAAGTGAAATAAAGATGGAAGGGATGTGCCAACGCTCCAAGCCAGTGAACCCCTTCCTGAGGCTTGACTCTCATTTCCTTGACCACAGCCTGAGATATAAAGGCTCTGTTAAGGTAGGGTACTGTATTAATACAGATTACCAATTGTGCTCACAGATTTAGCATCATCTGTCCTATCATTCACACTCTGTGTACCTCATGGCTCCTGGGTAGTGAGTTGATGAAAACCAATCAGGATATATTAAGGATTGTTTCAACCAGCCTTGTTTCTTGACTCTAAACCTTGATAATCATGTCTTCTTTTATAACATTTTTTAAGATTTGTTTTATTTATGTGTGCCTGTGCACATGAGTGCAGGTGCCCATAAAAGTGAGAGGCCATTGGATCCATGCCCCCCCACCTCCTCTGGTGTGGTTGGGGGGCTGGAGTTAGAAGGAGTTGTGAGTCACCCTACATGGGTGCTGGGAATTGAAGTTAGCCCATGCCACTGAGCCGTTTCTCCAGCTCCTTAGCACATCTAAGAGCTATATGATCTTCCAACATTCAGTATGTTCATTTGCTTGCTTGCTTGAAGCTGGCTTTCATGTAGCCTAAGCTATTATGGAATTTGCTATGTAGCCAAGGAGGACCATCCTAATCTTTCTACCACCATCAACTCAGTGGTAGGATTCCAAGTGTGCATCATCGGCACACACAGCTTAAAGTTGCCTTAGTCCTGGCTGGATTGGTTTTTGCTGCTGGTTGGTGATATTAATTGTGCAGTGTGGTATCAGCACCCCAACTAGCATCGCCTTCTTACTCTAGATCCTCTGTCACACCCAGAGAGAAACACACATTCCAAAGAATAAGTATCAGTAGTCAACAGACCAGCTTTTGTAGCTCTCTAAATCAGGATCCAGGAAAATTTGACCAAATAATTAAAAAGAGGCCTTGATGAAAATAATGCCCAAATTCTCCCAGCGTTTTTCTTCTCACTTGACACACATTTTGAGGCAGTGCACACAGAGCATCATGGAGAAGATACTTTTTCATTTGACACATGCTTATCCACAATTTTTCCTTGTTGTTTTTATCTGTTTATTTGTTTGTTTGAGACAAGGTCTCACTTTCTAGCCCTGGCTGGCCTGGAACTCATTATGTAGACCAGGCTGATCTCAAACTCACAGAGATCAGCCTGCTTCTACCTTTTGAATGCTGGGATTAAAGCCGTGAACCATCACTCCTGGCAACCACACTTTCATGTAAGTAATGTGGCATGATTTTCTTAGGAAAGTGAAATCACCTTCAGTTCTAACTTTATTACTATTTTTAAAAATTTAGGTTTATTTATTTTGTATATATGAGTGCTTTTCTTATACATATGTCTGTGTATCACATGCATGCCTGGTCCCCTTGGAGATCAGAAGAGGGAGTTGGATCCCCTGGAAGTGGGGTTACAGAAGATTGTGACCTTGCTTTGTGGGTGCCTGGAATCAAACCTGGGTTGGACAAGAGCAGTAAGTGCTCCTAACCACTGAAGCCATCTCTTCAGCCCTGACTTATTATTATTTTTAAGTGTTTTACTCATGTGTGTATGGGCACAGTGGTGTGCACGCATGTGTGTGGGGAGCCTTGGAGGCTTAGCAGAGCATCAGGGTCCCTGGAACTGGAGTTGCAGGCAGGCAGTGGTGAGCTGAGAACAAATGGAGGTACTCTAGAAAAGCAAGTTCTCTTAACCACTGAGCAGTTAAAATAAATGCTATTTTAAATCACATTTTGTAGATGAGGAAACCGAGCACAAGAGCAGATCATTGGCCTGAATTATCATAGCTGAGGCCCATAAGACCAGGACAGGAAGTGGAAGGGAGAGTCTAGGTTCTCAGATATCATCACAGACCATAGTCTCAGTTGACACAGATCTTTCGACTTTTGATGTGGGCATGTGAGATCTCTCTCTCTCTCTCTCTCTCTCTCTCTCTCTCTCTCTCTCTCTCTCTCTCTCTATCTATCTCTGGACTGGAATTCTGGAATTTCAGGGCTTTATTTTGCAGCACCTTTTCATGACTACTCCTGTGGTAGTTTGAATGTAATTCACCCCTATAATCTCACAGGGAGAGTCACTATTAGGAGATGTGGCTTGTTGGAGTAGGTATGGCCTTATTGGAAGAAGTGTGTTTATTGGCATCCACAGTATCTTCATCCTTTGAATTTTCTGCACCTTTCTTGGTACCCTTGAGTTACTCCTGGCTCACATTCATTGTCTAAAATGTTGCTGTAGGCTGAGTTTCAGTCATCCTAGATCTCAGACACCTAGCATCAGAATTTCTAGTGACTTTCTCTTTCTGATCCATCATTACAATTGCCACTCTTTGCCCACTTTTTTTTAATTATTAATTTATTTTTTACCCTTTCCTACTTTTTTTTTTCTCCTCCACTACATGAGGCTGGGCAATCTTACTTTGTCCTTCAAAGGGTGATTTTTCTCTCTGTCACTCTCCTTTTTCCTATTCTTTTTCTTTTTTCAACAGGATCTCATATAAGCCAGGCTGGCATCAAACTTGATATATAATTGAGGATGACCTTGATCCTCCTGCTGGTTTAGTAAAATGGCAGTAGTAGGTTCATCTCTAAGATCCATAATGTCATTAGCTAGTTGACTAGGTTTTCAGTACCAGGCATGATTTCCCTTCTGTTGAGCAGGCCCTAAGTCCAATTAGACAGCTGTTGGTTGCCACCGAGACATGAGTGCCTCTGTTGCACACTCAGGGATATCTTTCCGTGTTGGTCATTGTGGCAGTTCATAGGTAGGACTATTGGTTGCTTCTCTCCCTTGGCACTTTGCATAGCACGTTTTAGTGCTATAAAAGCTAGCCCTCAAAGAGGAGGCTTTCAGGTCAGATCTAGATCATAAGCCCCAAGTTTCTGAAATACATACTACTGTCTTCAGCAACAGTGACTTACCTTTAACCTCTGATGGGCAACGAAGGGCAACAGGGATAACCTATATTGTTTTGGGAATCTATTGAACTCTTTTGACCAACAACTCAAAAGGGGGGATCTCATATGCCTGGGACTGAAGTTTTTTGTTAAATAGTCTATGTCTCCTGGGGGGATCATTGCCAAACTAAGTAGCATGATTTTATATAGACCATATAAGTATATATACATATGCACACTCTTATACACATTATATTAATTTTAGGTAAATAAAGAATAATGATTCCTTATGGCCTCTTCAG